ATATATAAAATGTCTCATTGGATATTGGTAGATGACATTCTTTAAACCAGATTTAAAGATTAGGACTAGCATTACATTCATACATACAACTGTGATATAAATACTTTTTGTTTGGATTTTAAAAAGCTACTTTCCCTTCATATAAGTTCTGAACAGGAACCATGCATTTAAATTTCTCTAGAGCAGCTCCAAAATATTACCTGTATTTTGAATAGTTGAGATTATATTCTGTATTCTAAGACAAATAAATCTGTACGTTCCTTCATGTTTATTATTTTAGTGGCCATTCTTAAAAAAGAAAAGAACATTGTTTTATTGTACTACATTGTACATTCCAAAGTTTCAATAAAAAAATCAAAAATTGTCTAGAAATAGTAGTCTAAGCATGTCTCCCCAGATGTCAAGAACTAAGAGAACATAATTTAGTGAAGAAACAAGTGTTTCCTTCACCCTTAAACTTTAAGGCATCCTGTTGCTTCACCTGCACACCAGGTCTTTAAAAAATTGAACCATTTAAGGTGAATTTTGTGTTAACAGAGTATACACCCTGGGGTACGTAGTCTAGTCAGAAGGATGATACCATGCTGGCTTTTGAACTGAATCTTTGAACAATATTCTCATGAGTGTTAAATGTAAAACAAAGTAACATCAACTGGCACTTAATTCCATGAGCACCCTGCTGATTGGCCTAGGCTGTGAAATAGAGCCCTTCCTGACAGGAAGTCAGTCTATAAGTATAGAGACCCCTGAAAATAAAGTGTGCTATGGCTTGAGAGCCTGCTGTTTTATAGCTTGTTTTGTTTGAGAAGTAGCAAAAAGAAGTAGATCTAAGCTGATATTTTTAGAGTATTTTTTTACACTAAATATAAGTATAGGCAAGTCAGTTTAAAATTGAGATAGACTCTTATTACATGGACCTAATTTTAATATGACATGAACACATGTAAATCATTGAAACTCCATAAACTTTCCATATATATTCAAAAGACATTACTGTATATAGTAGCCTTTATATGTGAATATTAACATTTTATTATTGTATTTCCAAGATATTTTTGTGCATTCAGTGATATTCTTTTTATCTATAGGATAGTATGCATCGATGTACAGTAGCTTTTGGAAATTCATAATATAGACAATTTATATAAATTAGGGATTCAATCATATTCAAAAGAGGTTGTCATTCAAAATACATTTTTCTTATAAATAGAATGTGATTGTATATGGTTTTGCTTTTTATACAGTGATCATTTAATATTTAATTTACAATGAAATTCTTAGTTTTTACCTATATACCGTATTTCCCTGAAAATACGACCTACCCCGAAAGTAAGTCCTAGCTTGATTTTTACATGTGCACCCAATATAAGTCCTATCCCAAAAATAAGCCCTAATTAGCCCACTCCAGGGAGCATGAGTATTCATTAAGCTAGGTTGGAAATGGGGAGGTGCAACTGCGGTACTACTTACTTTTGGACAGTTGCAGCCAGGCCTCACAGACCCCAATACCTGCCTTGCCAGCAACTTTCTTCTGCAGCCAGCAAGGCCTGCAAGTCTTTCCTAAAGGCCTCTGTAGCTGATAACAGAGCTCCAGATCAATCCGGAGCTCTGTTATCAACTGCAGAGGCTTCAGGAAAGCTTTGTTGGCCTCAGAAGAAGTTCTTGAAGGCCTCTGACAGCAAAAAGGAGACTGAGGGCGACATGTACAAGTGAGGTGAGTCTGTGATTGACATCCCCTCTCCAAAAATAAGACCTTTTTGGTGGCAAAATTATATAAGACAGGGTCTTATTTTTGGGACAATGTGGTAGATAATTCTCAATTGATGACAATAATGGATTATGCCAATATGGTGGGAAGCTGCGATGGCCATAAAATGAACTACCCATTTATGATCCCCCATCTGTGGTCTTCCCAATGCAGTTGTTAAACAGAGCATGGTGTGCCTCAGAGTCCCCAGGGGAGATCCTGGGAGGCCTAGTTCATACCCTGCCCTTGGTCTCCCGAAGCTTCTTCCATTCCCTGAGGCACCCCATGCTCTGCTTTCTACCCCTTGAGGTCCCCTCAGGACTTGGCCTGATTCCCACCCCACTGGACCCCACATCAACTGCCTCATCCAACATAGTCCATCACATACTTAATTTTTGAAGATACCTGGAGTGCAGGTTAGGGAAGAAGAATAGGCTGCTCTGTTCTTGGGTTGCATGGCATCATTCCTAAAGTGGCATCATTTTCAGGGTAGCTGCATTGAATTGTGAATATTTCAAAAATGAGTCTGCTTCCAGGATCACACCATCCAGCCCAGAAACGAAGAACCCTGCTCTCATTCTGTAACATGAGTTCTGGGAAGCTCCACAGTGATCTGCAGTTCTCTGGCGCTTGTGTTAAAAGCAGATCTATCCATTCCTGGGCATGTGGCATGAACCCAGAAACAGCTGGCATTTTCAAAGCACCCTTAATTTAGTGTAGCCACCCTGAAAATGGGATTGTGCTATGTAGCCCAAGAATGGAGCATCCTGCACTCCTTCCCTAGAGCCCAAAGAGCTCTAGAGATCTTTGGAAAGTAAGTGAGGAGGACGGTGTGAGGACTGTGAAGTGAGAAGCAGGGATATGGTGGGGAAATGGGTGAGCTAGACAGGGGAGCGGTACCCCTGTAGTCAGTTGTAAGGGCTAATGACCACAGGGGTGCTGCAGTCGTTGCAACTTCGGAACTAAGTTTCAAGTAGCTTTTGGGGAGGCCACTATAATTTTGATGAGTCACTAAAGTAACTTGTCATAAGTTGAGGACTATCGGTACTATCTTATGTTTTTATGATTATAATTCACCAAACAAATCTATATTCTGATGATATGAATGAAGTGGTTGGCTGGCTGTTGGTTCAATCATGTTAATTTCACCTGAATTTGAAACCAATTTGTTTTTTCTGCAGCTAGAACATGATTTATTGCTTGCTCCATCCAGTCTCTATACTACAATCCTAATAATAAAAACTTAATATCAATAATAATAGGCTCCATGGGTGCAATCCCAGAACTGGAGCACCACTTGAATACCATCAGCATTGACAAAATCCCCATCAGTCAATTGCAAAATGCAGCTTTACTCAGAACACTTTACATTCTGTGACAATACCTGTAACATCATCAAACATCCATATTTACCTATCCTGGGTCCTTGGGAAGGATTCAGTAGGTGGGGAAAAATGCCAAATTCAGCTGACTCTGTGACACCCCTCCCCCAAATAATATGTTAGGGCACCTCAGCAGCCAATTCCAGTAGGTTCTGTCAATGTTATGTAGACTTCTCTGTGCGAAAGTTGTGTGGGGAAAAGTAATTCACTAGCAATTATTGCTATATTATACTTTTCTGAGGGGAAAAATCAGTTATCATATATTAGTTGGTGCTAACAAAACAGTAAAATAAGTATATTTCTTTGCTTTAGAAAGAATAATATTTCTTTATTCTCATCTAAATTTAAATCTCATTCATCTCACTGTCTCAAGTGATTCTGGATGGCTTACAATAGTATAAAAACATAAATATAAAAATAAAGAAACATTAAAATGTATTAATATATAACTATTACTGCTGTTCTCAATAAAGGTAAATTCCTGAACTTAGTTTTTTCTTTATGATGGCAAAGAGCAATACAATTAAAAGTTGCATTTTATTATACATTTTATTCTTTCGATCTATCTATCTATCTATCGATCTATCGATCTATCGATCTATCGATCTATCGATCTATCGATCTATCCTTTCTGAGTTTATTGTG